GTGTGTGTATGTGTGCACATGCATGTACTCTATTGACATATGCCCATGTATTCATGCAGATAGAGTATTATAAAATCCTTGCTATTACCAGGGAGCCTTGTATCAAATTGTGTTAAACCACGGGATCTGTGATATTTTGATAGGTGCCATTAGGGAGAACAATGGGCCCAGGATATATTCCTAGAGGGACTCACATTTATACTTTTTATATCATCCCCAAACAAGATTGTACATGTGGTCAGATTCACAATGATAGGAGTGAAAGATGCCTGTCTTAAAGCTGGGTTTGTAGCTCTCTCTACCTCAAGGGATTTTGAGTTCCTATTTTTATGATAAAACCCATAATTACCTTGTGAATACGTATGCAATATTGCATTGTATTTGTTTGCTTTAAAATTTTTGTTTGTATGAACACTTAAAATAAGTGAGAGTTTTTCTGACATTTCTTCATAAAAAAAAAGAAACCACTGGTAGGAAAATGGAAGAACTATCAGAGGCCTCAGTGCTCGACCTCTGAAAGGCCTCTGAGAAGACCTGCCTCAAAGATTGTTCTGAGAATTAATTAAGCCTGAATATTTAAATTAAACTCTAATACTCTACCATATGCTGGCAATTTCTGAAAATCTTGGGCAACTGAAAGTGCAGAGGCTGGATTTCTTTTATAAAATTATTATTATCATTAGGGGCTGGGGTTGTGGCTCAGTGGTAGAGCACTTGCCTTGCATGCATGAGGCACTGGGTTTGATCCTCAGCACCACATAAAAATAAATAAAATCAAATAAAGATATTGTGTCCATCTACAACTAAAAATAGTTTTAAAAAATTGATATATATATACCAATTGTACATATTTATAAGGTATAATGTGACACATCAGTACATTTGATACATGTGGTCAGTGTAGAGGCTGATTTGTATAAAAATGTTTTGGCTTGATACAGCAAAGCTAAGATTTATTTTCAGTTCTCTGCTACACTTGGGCTGTAGTGGATGCAACAGGGACAGTGCTCAACTTGGCCTTCCCATACGACCACCCAGCATGGTGGCTTGGCCACACTGGGCTATCACTTAATGTCCAGGGAACTGATGTAAGATATTGGCAAAGACAATTTATTAATAAAACACAATCAACCTTATGTTGAATTGTTACTGAAAACAATAGCTAATGGACTTTAAAAAAAATAAAATGATACAAGTCATCAAGACTATCTCTAGGTTATAGCATATTAGAAATGATAAATAGCATTATATGTGATACACAGGCATGGAGAATCGGAAGATTTATCTGAGTAGAAAGAGAGAGATAGTTAAGGATAACAACTGCGGGTATGGGCCACCTGAAAGGAGGAAACGGAAGAACAAGCTTGTTCATCCGTCTTCACCTCCTGGGCTGAAACCCTGTGGAGGTGGAGAAGGGGTTTATCACCCAGCCCAGGCCCCTGGGTGTGTTGCGTGCATGCATTTCAGACAGATTACTATGGCATTGTTTTCAAAGTACAAATCTTGGTCACCAGGGGCTCCTTTCTGGAGTTGGCAACCACAGTAGTGAAAGCAGTCCCTCGGGGCAGATGGGCAGCGCTCCAGGACCGTGGGAGACCCAGGGACATCCATTCCTGATTACAATGTTGGACTGTTTCTTAACATTTTGTTATTAAAAACACTGTAGAAGAGGCAAACTTAATGGAAAATTAATCATGTATTTAATACTGTTTGAAAAAAAAAATCCCAACCAAAGGACCTCATGAACCTTTTATTCACAGAGATGGGCATTAATTTCATGGATTTAGTGAAAGTTTGAAGTATAAATATTACCAGTATGTGAAAGGTCAGTGGTAAGAATGTTTCCTTTTCATTGTTTGGCGCAGATGCTTTTCTGCTTAGTCTCCTGGTGGATTGATAGATGGACAGCAAGGCCCCTGAGACTGGCCACACGACGGCTGTGGCCCTCTAGCGGCCTGTGCTGCCTCGCTAGGCTCTGGCCATTGGCTTTGTGGTCTCACTGTGACCCTGTCTGTTGGCTTCTTTTGTCTTTCCCTTCCCTCCTGGACTTTTTTTTTTTTTTTTTTTTTTTTTGCCCAAGAGGACAGATTTGGTTATTGTATTAATCATGTCTTTTTATTCTCAATTATTTATGTATTTTTAATCAACAAATGGAAATTTTATACATTTGTGGGATACACTTGCAGTGTTTTGTCTAGAACGTCTAGAATGTGGCCTGATTAAAGCAAGCTAATTAGTATATCCATTTCCTCACTTAAGGGGTCATTTTCCGTGGTGAGATGGGCTGGGTGGACTCTGGCCACGGAGCCAAGCTCGGCAACCCCGGGGCCCATGTAGCATGAAGTGGTAGCTGGTTTCTTTGGTGTGATTCCTCCATTGACCAGAACACAGAGCAGCAGCCAAGACTGCTGGGAGCCCTGCCCCTGCTCTTTCTGAGCCCTGGTAGTGCCCTCCCTCCCCGGGGACAGATAGGTGGCAGCCTCCTGTGTAAGGCTGGAGTGATGCAGAAGCCGAAGGTCCACCTGCATTTCCTTGGTCCGTGTAGAACCCAGTTCTCCGTGGCAGTGTCCGCTTGCAGGATGGGTGGCATGCCCAAAGGGAACTGTACTCTCAGCAACTGGTCAGAGCCTCCCTTGGTTCTGCGGTCCAGCGGGTGTGTCAGCCTCACGGTTGAATTCTGGGCTATTCGGGATGCTATTCTTTCCCGTGGTTACTGGGTGGTTAGTTTCTGTTGCGGGGAGTGGAACTGGAGAGTGTTTATTTTGCCACCTTGCTGGCACACTTCCATTCTTTGTTTTTGATACTCTAACATGTTGGGACTTTGCTGATCCTCCCAGGCTAAAAACTGCACAGGCAGAGAAAATGTGCATCTCCTAGCATAAAACCCAGCACACAGAAGCAGCTTCATAAATACCTAATGCGTACATGAATTAAAATCATAGTCCCTGTAAGACTAGCTAATTCCCAAAGAACAAATGACTCACTTGCTGAGTTTGCCTGTCTAAAAACCCAAGATCCAGAGCCCTTACCCCAACCACTTCTTTTATTGTGTTCTCAAACTCCCAGAAACTGTCCCTCTGCCCAGTCACTCCAGAGCCAAGTATGGGGCAACTGGGGCCAACCCCCAAGCCCCAGAGACTGCTCCCATATTAAAACTCCCCCCGACCCTGCTTTGCCTATTCCTTCCCTGAGAATCACAACGAAAGCTTTTGCCTGTTTCTCTCTGTATCTCTCTCCACTGTCTGAACATGTGGCCTCTGGTGCCCTGGGATGCCCCCTCTGCTTGGGAATCTGTGAGTGTGACACTCTTCTGTGGCAGTTGTCTCTGATCTGTGGACCTCACCGTTCCTGAACAGGATACCTGAGGTATCCCGGAGGCCCCTCGCAGGTGGGGGCTTCAAGAGCACAGCACTGGCTTTGGCTCAGTCTGGGCTGCGTCACATCATGGTGGATGGCAAGGGTGGAAAGGAAGGAGCAGGCAGTGATGACATCCCCAACTGGAGCGGAGGAGAGAATGGCCCCATGCCACAGTGACCCAAGGCCCTTCTGCTAGGCCCCACCTCAAAGTTCTACTGACAGTGCCACCTAGGGACCAACTGTATTCAAACTTCAGCAAAAATAGAACTAGCACAGGGGTTCCTCATTCCTTCCCAACTAAGGCTTTATGTCTGGGACACTTGAAGGAGGCAGAGCAAACCTTGTTTCAACATAGCGAGCAGGTATTTATTGGCTGGGGACTAGTTTCCAGGTACTATTCCAGGCACCAGGGATACAGAGACAGAGAAAATATCCAAGTTCTTACAGCATTTACATTCCAATGAGGGTACATAGATGATTCCCAAATAAATATCGGCTGTGTCAGATACCATCATGTGAAAGGATGGGAGGCACAGAGTTACAGGGATTGCATTTCTGCATAGAATGATGAGGAAGCTGACATTTGAGCAGAGACTTGTGGGCGCTGAGATGTGATTACAGGTAAGGTTGAGTTCGGCCACGTATTTGCATCTGGAGGAAAGTGCTCACTTGTGGGAAGACAGTTTGGGGTTAGACTCTGGGACATCTCAGAAGGTCCAAGAGTCCTCTGGAGTGGACACTCTCCTCTTCCATCATTTCTGATGAAGCAGAAGGTAAAAGGAAAAAGGCAAAAGTAAGATAAGAAAAAAGAAGACAGAAGAAACAGGAAGAAAAGAAGAGGAGGAAGAGGAGGAGTCCTTTGAAACCAATGATGCAGACACATTAGACTTTAGAGATGATAAGTATCACATTTTTAAATAAAATGTATCAATGCTCATCTTTTTAAATAAAAACTTAGGCTTATCATGTTACCTCAGAAGTTCAATTTGTAAGAGTTATATTAGTTTTGGTAAAATATTTAGTTTAAGCCTATCTGCTCAACTAAAAGGTGCATGTGGTGCTGTGCCCATTGTTGTTGTTATTTTGTTGCTACACTTTGAGAGTTGGTTTCCTTATTGAGAACATGAATAAAATGAGCTACTTTGTGTTAACTTAGTACATTGGCCAGGTCTCTGCTGTTTCTTGGCCAGGAAACAGGAGTTATTGCCCAGAGCAGGCTGCATGGAACAAAATAGAACATAAAGCCAGACCATCCTCTAGATCCTGCAGATGGTGGAGGCAGCCTAGGAATATCTATGATAACTAAGATTCTGCCTGATTTGTACTTTGATTACACGTGAAGCGCATATTTAAACAACGTTTAAAGAAGGAAATGTTTCAGGAGATGGTTTAGACCTGAAGAGGCCCATTCTGATCATGAAGTGGGAGTGGAAAGGAAGGAGAAATAGCTAATGATCTGCTGAGACCGTGACATGAATCTGAAAGGGTCTCCTTAAAAGCCTAGGAAGCAACTGATTCACCGCCCAGTGTCTGCAGGGTGCTGCAAATGATCCCCAACAGGAATGCAGGATGTGTGAAATCTCAATTTTTAAATAGCTAAGTTCCTACCAGTAGTAACCCAGAGACTCTGGCAGGAATGGTGGTTAGACCCACGCAAGGAAAACAGCAAGGAGCAGAAGGGGAAGAGCCAGGAACTTGAAGAGCTGGGTGGGCAGGCTAGGCTTCTGCATCTCCCCCACTGCACGCGTCCTCGTGGGCTTCAGTGTCCGGTCCCACTGGGTCAGGATGGCGTTCCTGGCTCCTGGCCACTTCCCTGGGCCCACCAGCCTGAACTGGTAGGGGCTGCAGGGGCCGAAGAAAACTTCCACGGCCAATCTGGGATCCGTGAGGAACAGCCACGGGATGCTGGGCTTCACCCCAATGAAGGAGGCCAGTTCGTCCATGTAAACAATGTAGTCCGTCTGTATGGTCTCGCTTTTGCCAAACCTAGAGGCAGGGGAGGAAACGCTACCGTGGGTGACCAAAGCCAAACCTTATTTAGAACAGGAACAGGGAGAGTGCCCCATCCTTTTCCCGGGGTACACCAGCATCAATCTTTGATTGCTTGTTTAGCCTACACTGAAGTTTTTTCATAGAACCTGCATATTGACCTCATTTGGAAATTCCCCAATGTTGCAGGGCAGCTGAGAAGGGCATTTTGTATCCCCATTAGCAAACAGATAAACTGTCCCTTGGTCAAGTTAATCAGGGACAGAGCTGGGAGGGGGGCGTTGCCATCCCATCCCCGTGTTGGTGAGTCATTTCTATCAGGCATCTGAAGAGTCATGGCCACCTTGAAGGGTGCATGGGCCAGAGGACAGAACTCCACAGCTGGGAGCTCACAGCCTTTGATTTCTGATCATCCCTGGGTCTCTTTTCTGGGAGGTATTGCCAGAGACCCAGAGGGACACAACTGACCTTGACACGCAGATTCCCCACCTGCTAGTCACCTTGTGTCTATGTTTAATAGTAGATTTTCACTAGCTCTTCTTTGTGAGACGGATGTGGCTCATAGCTGTCACCCTGATGACCTCATTTAGGACCCTTTGAGACAACGAGTCCCACAGATTCCCACACCCCTGGACCTCTGTCAACAACAGGCTCTCTTACCATTTGAGCTTTTTCCCCATTTTCTCATCAATGTCACTCATCATGTCTTTCCTAGAAGGCAAACTACAAGTTCCTGAGAGAGATGGAAAGAAAAGACAACAGGTGAACAACTCTCGTGTAGCAAGAGCCTCCCACTTTCCCTTGTTAACAAGATACAAGTCACATTCGTTATTTCCATTTTTTTCAGTTTAGTAAAATAAGATGCTGAAGAATTGAACAGGTGATTTCTGAGACAGACAATGATCCACTCCTCGTCTTCTCAGAACTGAGACACCTCACAATAATTCAAAACCACCGTCTGATTAGCTTTATCTTTATTCTTAAACTGATTACCAGGTGTTTCATATCAGTTTCAGGGATGATATTCTAATTTTTCAGTCATATTTTTAAGCCACACAGAGGTGAACTGGCAGGATGTTTTTTCAATATTTTTTTAAAAACCAACCAAAAAAAAACTCCATAGGAAATAATTCTGCTTTGCTGGAAGAGGGAATTTCCAGCAAGTAAGATACAGAATTTAGTGAAACCTCCAGGCTCCCATGGACCACCCACAGGTCTTCCTGAAAATGAAGGACATGCACTGTCCCCAAGTCACCAAGGACATAGAGGAGCCTCAGAAGACAAGATCTGACATGGAGCTGCTCACAAAGGTTCACAGAGTTCTCTGAAATAAGCCCGAATGGTTTCTGCCCAGAGACCCTTCCAATTTAGGATGGCGTCTTTGGCGATCTTGGAATCGCTTTGGATGGAATTAGAACTCCTAGCTCAGACCTGGCGGCTCAGGCCCCACTGGCACAGCTGCTCAGTGGCCCCTTCCGTCACTCCTGAGAGGTGGGGTCACTGAGCAGCTGCTTCCACACCTGGGAACCCGTCTTGTCCTTGGACAGGAAGAGATTTGGGAAGAAACTGTCTGTGTTTGTGGTCCACCAGCTGCTGCCATTGGGCTGCTTCTTACTGGCCCTGATGTCCTGGTCCTCTGGTTCTCCCAAAAGAGGCTGCTTGCTGTATTTCCTTTCTGTCCTAAGTCTGAACGTTCCCTTTCTGTAGAGCCCAAGTTACAACTCCTGTCCTCAGAGAGTGAGTGTCTCCCTTCCTTAGGTTCCAGTCTCTCTGGGCTTGAGCCCTGAGTGGCACCAAGGGCAACCTCAAGCCATCGCCTTCCTGTCTGCTGCCTCCCCGAGCAACATCAGCCTCTGGGCAGCAGCACCCTCTGCCTGGGGTGGGGGAGTCAGGGAGTTGCAGGGAGATCACTGAGTGTGGGAGGCCTGGTGGTGAGGGGGCGCCAGGATGGGTAGAGGTAGCCTCCAAGTTCCTGTGAGTGGAAGAATCTTTAAACCCCATAAGTCATGGTAGGACCGGGAGCCTCAGATATGGCTGTAAAAGGCAGCAGGCCACTCAGCCTTTCTCATCCAGAAATTTTATGCTCAAGGTGCAACTCAACTTTATGCAATGACCTTTGACGTCCTTTGTTCCCCTCTAATCATGGGAGCCTACTTAGTCTTGTGATGAGCATCTGTACACAACTGCAGAAGTTCCGTGCATCTGACCCCAGGGCCCGCCATCGGAGGACACTGATGGCCTTCCTTACCGGCCCCAGCCAAGTCTGTTGCGTCCTTTTCCTTTTATTAATAACATAGAAAGTCATTCCTCTTCTATCTTAGAAACGGACCCTGGGCCACACCTGGCACTCTCTGCCTCTGATCATGCACTGATTCTCCTTCACGGACACACAGAGGGAAGACCATGGTAGCATCAAACCTAGCACCAGGCTGACCATGGCCATGGACACCTGAGCGGGCTGGATATGGGCTTGAAGCACCTTTTCCTATTAACCTTCCAAGTGATGTCATCCCACTGAATTTTGAAATCACAACTTTATGAAGCTGTCATGCACTTCAGATTAAGAACTTGGGTGTTCTTAAGTCTAATGAGTGACCATGGGTGGCTATCAGCTGGAAGGAATCATAAGTGACAAAAAGCTTCCCTAACAATCTCTTACTACTGCACATCGTAGTCCAACGTGATAGAGTTCAAATGGCTTATAAAATAGAGCACTGAAGAACATGGAGTCACAGATGCTCAAAACCAGATGGGATCCTTGTAACGAGGACCATGGTTTTCACAAGGACTCAATGACCTTGTCATTGGCACCCGTCCCTGAACTCTGGCTGCTTACCCTTTATGACTCGGGTTGCCCAGCGGGCCTGCAGGTCCGTTGTGGGGATGGCAGCCCCCAGAGACTGGACAAGGCCAATCACAGCCAAGGTCGACTTCTCGAGCTGAGGGGGGAAGATGCCTTTGTACAAGGTGACCTCGTTGTTCCTGCTTTTGATGATGGAGTCATCAAGGAAGGGGTAGGCATTACTATAGCCTGTGGCGAAGATGACACAATCGATGGCTTCAAACACCGTCCCATCCTCAAAAATGGCCGAGGTCTCTGTGAACTTTTTCACATTAGGCTTGATGGAGACCCTGCCGCAGAGGATGTGGGCGGGGAGGTCATCATTGAACACGGGCTCTTTCCTCAGGGCTCTGTAGGACATGGAGACAGCATTAGAACAGCAACATTCCCCCTGGGTCTATACAAATTGATAAGAAAGGGGACACCACCAGGATATTTTCTCTGAGCTGTGGAGTAACCAACAGTTAAAAACACAAAACCGCAAGGAGGCAGCTTTGCTGACCCCGTATCTGTTTTCTATGCTGCTCCCCTTCTCGCCCATCCCTCGCTCGTTCCAAATTCAAGCATGAACCACACGCAACCAAAACGAGGCGGTGCGCTTTATAGCCCATTCCCCCTAAATTGAGGCTTTGCCTTTACAACAGTTTCCCATCATTTGCCTTTTCTCCTTCTTTCAGAGCCCAAGTTACAATCCTATGCTCAAGAGGAGTGAGTGTCCCTCCCCTCCTTTAATTCCAGCCTCTCTGGCCTGAGACCCGAGTGAAACCCGGTGAATACTCCTATTTCCTTATAGGGAAAAGTCCTAATGTGAGAGTGCCTGCTACTTGTACTTTTTTCTTTGCTACCTACTTATTACCTGTGAACCTGGATAAAATTAAGGGTTCTTAGATTCTCTCTGCTTCATTTTTCTCGTCTGGCACTGACACGCATACCTGCCTCAGGTGGCTGGGGGACCTGAATAACATGAAGAATTTTGCAGTCTCTAGCTTGGGCTCCAGTGTTGAAAAATGTCAGCTGCTGCTCCTAGTGAACTCCAGCCTGGCCGTTGTAATACAAAGAAAGTCCAACAGGAGCAAGAAGGTGGAAGGTGGGCTAGTGCAGCTGGGCTGTCACAGAGGGACGAGGCCTGAGCTCCCCCAGGTGAGGGACAGGGCACCTAGGAATCTTGTTGGCCAGGAAAGGAGGGGGCCGGTCTGAAGCTTTGGGCCCTGGAAGTCTGAAAAGAGCGAGTTCCACTATTTTTTACTCAGTAACATCCCTAGTGGACACAGATCCATCTGAGCTCACTGTGGAACTGGAGGAAGGGGCTGGTTATTATGTGGCAGCAGGTGCTATGAGAGCCACAGATAGACTCTCATGGGAGGAAACCAAGCCAGACCAAGAGACCGGTGGAATCCTGCTGGGAAACCCTGGGCTCACTGGGCTGTCACCTGCCACTCACTTAAACCACTGGCACCCACCCCACCACCACCACCGCGAGCTGCTCTCATGGGGCCACCAGAACCCGACGGCCCACTCTTCGTTTGGCTCAGCTGATTGCAGTGTGTGCACAGTGGAAGGCTCCCTCCCTCTCGAAACAGCGTCCTCCTATGGCTTCTGGGTCATGTGCCCTCGGTTCCTTCCTGTCCACCCCCTGGGCTCCTCAGAATCCTGCTGCGGCCTTCTCCTCCTGAGGCCTTCTCCTCCTGACTTCTAAACAGTGGCACATCCCGGGACTCGGCCCCCAGCCCTCACCTCTCTGTCTACCCTCACTCTTCCAGAGGGCCCATCACATTGAACCTGAGGATTGAACCTCTGTTCCACCTTGATGTCACACTCCACCTCCTACCTGAAGCTACCAGGCATCCCGAGCTCCTCTGTCTCAGACGAGACCCCTGCTTCCCCACCGGGTTCCCCCCCAGCGAGTGTCAACCCCACCCTGCTCCGTCCTCCAGCGCCTCCTTGCTCTCACACCCTTGATCCAGCCCAACAGAAGATCCTGTCTGGGTCTGCCTTGGGGCTCCCTTGGAATCTGCCACTTCTGACCCTTCACCGCCGGCAAGCCGTGTCCAAGCCCCCATCCTGTCATCTGGGTGTGATGGTAGTTCTGAACTGGTCCTTTACTGCTGCCGGCTCTGCCCTCTGCATGGGGTGGCGACCACAGCGGTGGAGTGACCTCCAGTGCAAACTTAGATCTCGTCCCTGACATGCTCAGATGCCTGTGGCTTCCTGTCACCTTGACAGTGAAGGCCACACTCCCCACAGTGCCCACTAGGTCCCATGGCTGGCTCCTCTGCAGCGTTTCTCCCCCTCCCAGGAGTCAGGTTGATCCTGTCACCAAGCCCCCAGGCAGTGGGCCATGCCCTCGCCTACACACCCCCAGGCCCATCCCTCACCTCCGAAGTCTCCCTCAAAGTCCTCTTCTGAGGCCCCCGCTGAGGACCCTGATGGAAACTGTCCTGATGGTGCGTGCCACCACCTTGCTGGCCCTTTCTTCTCATGGCAGCCTACCCACGAGGGCCACTCTTTCTAGCTCGTCGGGTTCCTGTTACTTGTTGCTGTATCCACAGGACCTAACCGGGGACTGGCAGGTAATAAATGCTCAACTGATACTTATTGAGTTAATGAATTCACTCTGAGGTTTGGCCTTTTCACTCCACATCAGAGTCATTTCTTACTGTGAGATGGGCTTGGAGGAGTTAGAGGAGCCACTGAGGAGGAAGCTCGAGATGTGGCCATAGTTCAGTGAGGGGGACCCCCGGGGGTGTGCAATGAGAGTGTCCCCGGGGAAAGCTCTCTTGCCTTGTTTGACTTTGCCACTAAGTGAGAGGCAGCGAGCACGTGGCCAAGAACAAGGGGCTCTGGAGTCAGCAGATCTGGCTGTTTTGAATGCTGCTTCTACTTGCTGGCTGAGGGACTTTGGTAAAGTTACGAACTACATTGAACCTCAGTTTTCTTGTCTCTAAAATGGGGATGCTAATGGAGCTCTCTTCAAAGTTGTGTGGATAAAATGAGATAATACACGTTGGAGCCTAGCAGAGGCTTAAGAAGTCTCTGACGTGAATTAAGTACATAAAACATTAAGTGCTATTATCATCATCGTAGGAAGGAACTGATTGCTTAAGCCTTGCGTGATTGTGCAGCCGAGTGAATCTGCTACGGAGGATGTATGGAAATCACTCCTAAGACTGGCAGCTCTTGATCCTCTGATGTATGAAATGTGATCACTACACCAATATTTTGATTTGCTTTGTGATTACAACACACTTTCAGGGTTGTTGACACTGAAACAACTCAGCAGAAACACCACATCCAGCTACGTTACCCGTTTAGAGGCATCAAGCCGTAGTTCTCGTGCTTGAACTTTGAGTTCATCTGCTTCATGTACCACCAGTCGGAGATGGCTGTGGGCAAGCTGTTCTTGAGGAACGTCTGAAAGCGCGTGATGAACACCATGTCCCAGGGGTAGCCATCGTCCCAGACCCGGCTCAGCACCCAGGAGCCACTTCTGGAGCTGATGACGACCTGCAAACACCAAGTCAACCATGAAAGCTGCACATTTACAGTGGACGTTGCGATGCGCTTCCCCGTGTCCCCTGTCGGAATGGGGTCATCACCCGGCTCCCCGGAGGTTGCTGCAGGAATCCCTCAGCACCCAGCCCTCTTTGGGAGTTGATTTGGCTGAAGTGATGGGTCTCCCTCGAGGTCTTGTGCCCTTCCTGAGTCCCCTGCAGGCAGTGACTGGCCCATGCAGGTGTAAAAGGCTCAGACCATCAGTCACCTCGACTTGGGAAAATCTCAAAGGGATCCCGAGAGCACTCCCGGGTCATTCACTGGAGCTAATCCCATCTGAGGTCAGCTGCCCTGCTGGGTGGGTGCTGGCAAGTGTTCATATTTTAACCCAGTCTTCCCTGGCTTAGGTGACGGATAACGGAATTCCAGCCATGATTCCTTGAGGGCTTCCCTGACCACTGCCATCCACAGACAAGCAATCATGATCTAACAGCGGGGTGTTCTGAACTAAAACGCCTGCCTCCGTCCTAAAAGAAGGAAGGAATTTGGAATTGGAAAGCCATAGGCTCAAATCCTGGCTTCCTGGTGTCAGCACGGGGAGGAGCAGTGCCTCCACATGACATCTGCGCGAGGGCTAATTTAATGCTACCACCTTCACGACGTGGCTAATAGCACTGAGCATGTGGCACCTGCTCAGGTTTTGTTCATCCCAAACAGTGTTGTTTTTTTCTTTTCTTTTTTTTTTAAAAAACACATTTTTATATATAGTGTCATTTAAAGGCATTTCTTATAAGGGAAGCTAGACAAATAGCAAAAGACTGAAGATCAATGAATTGAGAGAGCCTTGGAAATGGTCTTTCTTCCCGCTCATCGATCATGGGGACAAACCCAAATTCCACAGCACCGTGGTGGTTTTGTCATACCTTTCCTTAGCTCAGGAGGCTTCAATAATTTACCTTTACTTGTGGATAATTTCTGATTGTTTAGCCTGCTGTTGAAGTCCTTGAAAAGACGTCCTCACCCGACCCCACCCTGTCCTTCCTGACTCAGTTCCTGCAGCTACTCGGTTCTGGGCATCCGAAGACCAGAATTCCAGCTCCAGGGTTGACTCCCTGTCCGGCCTCCACGAGGACGAGGGCAGTTCTGGTCCTCAGTCCCTTTCTGTAAATGGCAGGGTGAGGCGAGCTCCCGTCGTCCCACCCTCCCAGGACTCGTCTCCACGCAGGTGTTGAGCACCGTGGTGCAGGACGCAGGTCGCCAGGGGTGACAGCCTCCATCCCGCAGCCGAGAGCGCGCGGCTCCTCCCGTCTTCACGCCTCTGCTCCCGCGGTGAGCGCTCCAAGTGCAGCGTCTGCCTCCTCCACCCTGAGCGTCCATGATCTGTCGAGTTCGGGCTCTGGTCCGCCTGCTGTGAGGCCTCCAGGTCTGCAGTCACTTAGGCACTGGGTCCTGGCATCTGCCCTTTCCTCCAGTGGCAGCCCCTACACTGCGGTCACCCGTTCTGCTGAGCTCTTGCCGTCACGTTGGATCCGCACGCGTCCGTGAGCTAGATCTTACATTCCTTGGAAGAGAGGCCGTGGGGCCGAGTTCCTGTGTTCCTCCCTGTGCCCCGTGGTGTGGTAAACAGGCACACAGGATGTGTGTTCACGCCCTGTGTCCCGTCACCATCTCCCCACTTCAGTGACCGCAGCACCATGAGGTCAAGGTGGACATGTGTTGGGGATGGCCGGGGCATCTCTTGGGATGACCCATGTTGGGGACCTATGACATCTGGAGATGTGATTCCTATCTCTGGGATTCCGAGTGCCAACCCTTACAGAATCTGCCCAAGCTAGCAGGTGACGTCTGTATGGGCTCATTCCCTGAGGACCCATGTCACTATCTTCTCCATCTTCCCCTGCCTCTCCTCAGCTCGTCCTTCCCAAACCCCTGAGCTGCAGCCACAGGACTGTGAGACACTGAGCCCCTTGCTTCAAGACCTTCTGACGTCTGCCTCTCTCAGCTTCTAGTTCTCAGCATACAGGTCATCAGGGCAAAGGGTCCCAGGTCCTTCCAGTTGCCCCAGGAAGTAGGTGGCCTCCGCTGATGGCCTGGTGACAGGCTGTCTCTTGATTTTCTAGTCCTTTCACAGCTTTAACTTGCACATTTGAGCATTTACTTATTCCATGTGTCTTTTTGCACTAGACGGAGTTCCATGTAAGGCCAATGTCTGCTGTGTTTCTCGCTCCCTCCAACATGCACCCCAGTGCCCGGCACCCAGGAGGCTTCCCACAGATACCCTCGGATGCAGCATGAGGAACCTGAGACTCAGAGGCAGTGAACAAGTTGCCCACGAGTCTCACAGTCATGACCTTGACCCTGAATCCACTCCAGTTTTAGAGGAGTCAATCAGACAGGTGTGAGGCACCAATGTGTTGAAGAAAGACCACTGGGCCAGGTGTGGTGGTGCACACCTGTAATCCCAGCGGCTCGGGAGGCTGAGGCAGGAGGACCGTGAATTCAAAGTCAGCCTCAGCAAAAAGCAAGGCACTAAGCAACTCAGTGAGACCCTGTTGCTAAATAAAATACAAAATAGGGCTGGGGATGTGGCCGGGTGCCCCTATGTTCGATCCCTGGTAGTCCCCCCAACACCAAAGAAAAAAAAGATTGTTGGATGCCAGCATCGCTCCTTGCCCCCGCCTGTCACCTAGGAAGCTGGGCCTTGTGAAATACCTCTTAGCTTTCACCAGGTGCCCCCTCCCCATTGCAGACCCCACCTCTCCATGTCGTCATGTGCTTCTGTGCTGGCCCTGGTTGTGTGGGGTGGTACCTTTTCAGCCATGCGACTGAGCTCTATGGCAATGTCAGAGCCTGAGTTCCCCAGGCCAATCACCAGCACTCGCTTCCCCCTCCACAGGCCCGGGTCCTTGTACTCCCTGCTGTGGAAGCACTGGCCCCCGAAGTGCTCCAGACCTGCGCGACAAGTGGGAGACGTTTCCATTAAAATGTCAAACTCCTTTAACCAGGCGGGCACAGCCACAGAAAGGAGGGATTTTAATGCTCCATTAGATAGAGCAGGAATGTCCTTTTACCTTGGCATTTTATTTGAAGGAAAAAGACACTTGGGTATGGGTAGAGTGTGTCCCCCAAAGGATCCCGTGCTGGGAGTCTGGTCCCCAATGTGGCGGGGTGAGAGGAGGTGGGACCCTCAAGAGGGGGGCCATGAAGGAGGAAATGTGACCCCTGGGGGCGCTGCCCCTGGAAGGGGGTAGTGCTAGTCTGGTGGAGTGTTTATTTCCATGAGAGCAAGCCAGGCTCCCCAATCCCTCTTGCTTCTGTCCCACCACGGAATCTACTCTTTTGGCAAATGGCTGGCTCCCTTTCCATTTCTGCCCTGTGTGATGGTGCAGCCAAGGGTCCCTTGCTAGAATGCTAGCACCATGACACTTGGATGTTCCAGCCGGAATCATGAGCCAAATGCACCTTTATTTAATAATGTGTCCAGCCTCAAGTATTCTATTATAGCAACAGAAGTCATAGTAATACAGACATCATTAGTTTATTCCTTTTTGTCAAATTTGTAGATGGTGGCCTACATTTCAGACTCACCTGGAAAGGAGTCTTTTGGTAGATTGGGGTATACATGATGTCCAGAACAGATCATAACAGCATCAAAGACAGCCGACTCTTTTTTACCGTTCTTTTCAGTTTCAACATCCCATTGGCCAGTAGTTGAGAAATCAGGACGCTTACTTATACTGGATACAAGTGTCTGAGAGAAATACAGAAAGAAAACCTTCTTTTCTATACTCATAGGTAGATTTGGAAGAAATAGTATGAAAAATACTCTTAATAGATAGTGGCTTAGGAAAAAAAATTCATTAGTAAGATTCATATTCAAAATTCAAAATTCTCTTCAAAGAAATCAAAACATGACATGTGGCGTGGGTGTGTGCTTTTTTATTCTCGCACGGTTTCTAGCGTACCTCCAGTACTTTCTGCAGTGCAAGAAGGACACCCTTTGAGATATAACAGTGAGTTCAGTCATAGTTCACAAGAGGCACATGCCACACAGAAGCACTCTGGTAGCTGGCACTCTTTGCAACAGCAGCCGCATCCTAACCTCTAGACATTTCACTGTTAATATTAGTGTTGTATGAAAGCGAGAGACACCGTCTGTATCTCAGGCTTTCTTAGGTGTCAGAGTTGCCTAGAAAGCTTGTAAAAGCACACGTCCAGATCTCTGGTTCAGTGGGCCGAGGGAGAAGGTCTAAACCTCCCTGGGCCTCCCAGGGGAGGGGAGGTTGCTGGGACTGTGCGGAGCAGCTCCAGTCCCCGTCATCCGTGAACCTTTAGTCATGGCTAAATGGCTGCCTGCTCCTTCTTTTTAAAAAATCTTTCAATTCTTCTGGTTATATTGAAAGGATAATTTTTTATTTGGTGTTAATTGTTCTTAGAGATTTTATTATGCAGTATTCCATACATATGAGAGAACACACACATATGTGTGACACTCTACTCAAGAAGTAATATAATAGGACGGTCACATATGAACCCATCAGATCTTGTACCTCATTCTTTAGAATCACATTATTTATTTATCTATCTACCTACTTATTTAGGCTCTTGTAAATCATACCTGTTTTGGATCATCGTTTCTGTTTGCTGTCGGCTTACAGAAATGTAATTGATTTCTGTATGTTGAGTTTATAGGCTACTTCCTTGCCTAACTTTTTTGTATTTCTATGAATTCTAATATTTTGTAGATTCCTTTGGATTTAGTACACAGACGATCATATCATCTACAATAATGATGCTTTTCTTCCAAGTTGGGTCATTCCTTTTATTTTTCTTTATTTATTCCATTGTTTCTTAAATTACAGATTATTGAAGAGAAGCAATAATAATTAGGAGTCCTCACCTTCTGGATTTTGAGGGAAATGTTTCTGTTTGTTCTTCAGCACATAACTGTCGATTAGTGATATCATATGCACAACATATGTAATTTAAGAATTTCCAGCAGTCACATTTAAAAGTGAAAAAATGTATAATTTAACCTGATATAGCCACTACAGTAGAGTTTCAGTATGTAATCAAAATAAAATTTGTTAGTGAAGTAGTTCATATTTTTTCATAACAAGATGTTGGAATCCAGTGTGCGTTTTACACTTCAAACACATCTTTTTCCAGTGTGACTGGAGGCTGCCATATTGAACAGTGCAGACTGAAGACAATGTTCATGGATATTTTGAGGGGTCAAGAAAAGTCCCTTCTAATCTTGGTTTGGTGAGAATTTTCTCCTTTTTTTTATATCTTTCTTTCAAACACAAATGGGTGTTGAGTTTAAGCGAATGTCTTTTTTTGAATTTGTTAAACATATGATTTTCTTCCTATGATAGGTTTTTATAGTGGATTACATCTTTATATTTTATAATATTAAAATTTTGCATCCTTAGACCAAACTCAATTCAATAAAGACTGTTAATCTTTTAAAATACTCTGTTGCTATCATTTTTGAAGGACTTTGGGATTGATTTTCTGGAGGGAGGCTGGCCTATAATTTTCCTATTTCATATTTACATTTTCTGCATTTGATATTTTTTTTTGAGAGAGAGAGAGAGAATTTTTTAATATTTATTTTTTAGTTTTCAGTGGACACAACATCTTTATTTTATTTTTATGTGGTGCTGAGGATCGAACCCAGCACCCCGTGCATGCCAAGGAAGCGCGCTACTGCTTGAGCCACATCCCAAGGCCAATTTGATTTTTTTTTAAATTTGTTTTTAGTTTTAAAAAATTTTTGGACCTTTATTTCATTTATTTAAATGTGGTGCTGAGAATCAAACCCAGGGCTTCACACATGCTAGGCAAGCGCTCTACCACTGAGCCACAACCCCAGCCTTCTGCATTTGACATTAACGTTACAATGTTATAGGTGAGTTTGGAAAACACCTATTTTTAACTTCCGAAGGAATTTGTCATAATTTGTAACAATAACTGAAATAATTTGCCCATTGTAAATTTGAAAGTACTCATCTATGGAACTATCTTCTTACTTTCTTTATGGAAGATTTCTAATTTCTGAGTCAAAAATTATAAATCACCAAATACTTATCAGGCTTTTTACTTCTTCTTGAGTGAATTTTGGTATGTTAAAAAAGATTTTAAGGGGTTGGAGTTGTGGCTCAACAGTAGAGCACTCACCTAGCACATGTAAGGCCCTGGGTTCTATCCTTGGCATCACATATAAATAAATAAAATAAAGGTATTGTATCCATCTACAATTAAAAAACATTTTTAAAAAGATTTTAAAGATTTGAACAAATTAAAATATTATTTAGCAAACACTTTTATAGTATTCTGGTTATATTTTTAAATTTTACCTATATCTATTCTGTCTACTTTTTCTTTCTCAATGTTATTTGTTTGTCTTGGCTCATTTTTTTCTAACTATTTGTCTGTTGCTTATTTTATTAGACTTTTCAAAGGATGTACTTTCAATTTTGCTTTCTATTTAATTAATACTTTATTATCACTTTCATTCTATGTTCTTTGGGTTCATTATGTTTTTCTTCTATAAATGTCTTAAAATTCCTTAACTTATGACTTTTAAACCTTTCTCACTTTCTATTGCAAACATTTAAGTTTATAACTTCATGAAAGGATAGCTCAAGTACTAATGCATACAGTCTAAATATTCAGTTCTAGATATTTAAAATTTTCATTAAATTTCTTCTTTGACCCATATGTTATTTAGAAAAAATTGTTTTTTTTTTTTTTTTTGCTGTTGTTGTTATTGTTTGTGACAGCAATTGAACACAGGGGTGGTTAACCACTCAGCCACATCCCCAACCCTTTTTATTTTTTATTTGAGACAGGGTCTCACTAAGTTGTGTAAAGCTGGCCTCAAGCTTGCAATCCTCCCACCTCAGCCTCCTGAATCACTGGGATTACAGGCATGCACCAGTGCACCTGACTAAGAGTATTTAATTTCTAAATTTCTGGATATTTTGCATTTATTTATTTGTTATCGATTTCTAAGTTAGTGCCATTTTGGTCCAAGAATTTTATGTAGTCAAATATTTGTAAATTTCTCATATGTTATAGACAATAAGTTATGTTCTCTGAATCTAGGATTGGAGAAGCCACCCTATTTAAAATGTCAAATAGGAAAAGAATACTTAAAAGAAAAATGGAACTTCTTCATCAGGACACCTAAGGTTAGCTATTTCTTACCTCAAATTGTATGTGTTTTAGAAGGCCCTTTTCTCTGGCAAATGAGGTGATGTATTCCTGTAGCTTGTGGTTGTGCATGAAGACGGGGAAGTCCTCAGGATAGGGGAAGTCTGGAAAGCACATCATCTCCTTGGAAGAGTTTGCAAAGACTGATGGGTAGATGCTCGCCCTGCCCTCCTCCACACGTTCCTGTGAGTGAAGGAAATTGGTACCTGAGTGGACTGATCGTATTCACAGTTCTGCGCAATCACACAGGTGAGTTGGCCTTCACCCACAGGGAGACTCAGTAAGACCACACAGAAGTCAACTTCACTTGAGCAAATCTTCCACAGAATGTGGAAGGACGTGCTTTTCTTCACATATTTTCTTTCTACGGGAACTAGTTTCATTATGTCCTTTAAGAAATATATAACTAGAATCATTTTATCTCCTCAAGACATTAAACATGGTGATGGGTGTTTTCCAAATTTCAATCTTGAATGATTTCAATGTGTCACCTCATGAGCATGAGTGGTCAGTTTATAAATGAGTGTTCAATGTATAACAGCAAACAGTGACAGGTGGTTGCCAACTGCCAACTATTTATGAGATATGTAAATGTTAACACTTTAAAATGTAATCTTTCAAAAATTGTGCTTTCCACCACATATAAAGTATCTATTTTGAACCAAACACATTGCATTTATGGTACTTACGTAGGCAACAAAGTTTTAACTTTCAGAAATGAAAAAGTATCCAAATTGGTTCTACTAATTCTGAGAATCTATAGAAAAAAACTACCCTTCTAAAATCTTAGAGAGGCCATGAAGTGATGATGGAGAAAGAAAAAGAACATTAAGGAATGATAGTGACGAGAAGATCGGGACCCCGTGTTGTGGTTCTCATCTTGGCCACATGCTGGAATCAACTGGGGCACTTTACAAAACAGAGTCTGTCCCACCCTGAGAGTGTTGGCCAGGAGCTTTAAATGCACTCAAGGAGCTGTTCAGCGAAGGCTGGCAGTCCCAGTGCAGAGTGAACAAACAGAAGTCAAAGGTCACTGTGCGAGACTCCTGCGACACACCTGTTAGAGCTGTGAGCTCTGCATGCAAGACAGTGACACGAGTGAAAGGCATCAAATGGAAAATTCATCTTAGGTTAAGAAGAGACGAACCTGATACGGCTCTGCGGAGCCACCAAGGCGCTCTGTGACCACACCACAGCTGCAGTGCCTTTCTATCTCAGCAGCTCCCCCAACAATAAATCAGCAAACTGGATTTTGATGAAAGATCAACTGCAGATCTTCCTGTTGCTGGTTCAAATGACAAGTACCAAGCACTGGGAATCTCTAATTAGGGTTCATGCAACTCACAGCTGTTAGGACCCCCCCAGAATATGAATGTTTAGTACAAATTAGAATGTTGCACACATGCCCAAAGCCAGCATGTCTGCAGCCTGGTAAGTAATTCAGTGAATCCAGGAAGTTTGACAGAAGCTATATCAATAAAATTAGAGAATAAACATCAAGGAATAAGTTGATATAACTTGAGCATCTCAACCTGAAAATGCAAAATCTGAGAAGCTTTCAAATCTGAAACTCTTCAAATGCCAAACGCAGGTGGGAAATCCACAACTGTCCTTACATGATGTGTTGCAGATGAAACACAGGAACAGTAAAATATTGCACAGCATTGCCTTTTCACTACATGTGTAAGGTGCACATTAGGAACAGATGAATTTTGAGTTTAGACGCAGATCTCATCTCCAAGGCATCTCATTGTATATATGCAAATATTCCAAACTCTGAAAAAAATCCACCCTAAAACCTTCTGATCCCAAACATTTCCAACAATAGACATTCCTCCTATTTGTAAACTAGAAAAGATACAGAGGAAGTTAAGAAAGGGTGAATGCAGAGAAAAGAGCCCCATCCATGAAACTTCTTGCCTATATCCTTGAAATTCACCGATACATTGTTTGGAGAGCTCTGAGAAAGAAAGACATTTCACCTGTGGCCTGGTCATAAAGCACCTTATTTCATCTGTGCTCAAAGGATAGGGAACTATGATATTTGGGTTTGAATCAGGTTTAGAAGAACTAGGTGGGCAGAGGAAAGTGCTCTAGGAAATAGCAGCAAATGTCAACTGTCAGCACCCTTAGTTTCTCACACTTAAATGGCGTCTGACGCCTTCTGAAAGAAAAGACAGTTGAGAGATTGTAAAATGCTGACTTCAGAAATTCAAGGTAATGAAAATGTAAAATTGTTGGAATTTGGAAATACCACCTGGGTACAGGGGTGTGGCTGCAGAGTCCTAGGTGGCTGAGAAGCACTGCTGTTCCCACAGCATTTGTGATCTGGAACCCCCTGGTGGGGGTGAAAGAGTTAGGAACCCCTGAGTAAAGGACTCCATTCATTTCTTGTGGCTACTGTAGTAAATTACCATCAGCACGGTGGCCTAAAGAACAGGATTGGTTTTCCTGCAGTTCTGGAGGCCAGCATCAGAAATCAGCATCTCTGGGCCCCAAAGTCAGAGAGAGAGAGAGAGAGAGAGAGAGGATTGAACGAGAGAGAGAGAGAGAGAGAGAGAGAGAGAGAGAGAGAGAGAGAGAGGATTGAACCCAGGGATGCTTTACCACTGAACCACACCCCCAGCCCTTTTTGTTTTTTATTTAAAGACAGGGTCTCACTAAGTTGCTTAAGGCCTCACTAAGTTGCTGGGGCTGGCTTCAAGCTCACAATCCTACTGCCTAAACCTCCCGAGTTGCTGGGATTGCAGGTGTGTTCCTGTGCCTGGCTCCATCTCGATATTTTAAACTTAATCCCAGCACAAACATCCCTTTCTCTTGTAAGGCAACTTCCACAGGCCCCAGGGATTAGGACGTTTGATGAGTACATTTGTGCTTATCTGCTGGTGGATTTCCATGATGGATGATGGAGACGGGCAGCGCATCCACACTTATTTTGTCACACAGCTGTCTCATTAATTATGTGGTTTTACAAGGCCAAAGTCAGCACCTGAAATACCTTAATTTTTAAATCCAAAAAAAAAATTTCAATTATACACATTGATAGGGTTCAGTGTGATGATTCAATACATGTATACACTGTGTAATGATCAAATCAAAGCAGTTAAAATTTCCATTTCTTTATACTTTTTTTTTTTTTAATAGGATCATGCAAAGTTTCCCAGGCTGACCTCAAATACCTGAGTAGCTGGGATCACGGGCGTGCACCATAATGCCTGGCTTGACATTTTAAATGACCTTGAGACTGATGTGTAATAATGGTGCACATCCCAGGTTGATATTTCAGTGTGCGGGTGTTATACATGCTGTTCAAGTCGGGGTGATGAACTTCCCGTCTCCTTGTCGTTACTTTGTGTTTAGAGCCTTCAGCTCCTCTATTCCAGTAACCCATAGATATAGAATAGGGCATCGTGAGCTGTAGCTCCCACACTGTTCTGTAGAACACTACAACTTATTACTTCTAATTGTGTGTGGGTGCCTGTTCTCAAACTTCCTATGTTCTTCCCAGCCTCCTGGAATCACTACATACATTATGATTTTTTTAAAAAAAATATCCACAAATGAGAAAAAACAGCAGAATTTGTCTGTGTCTGATGACTTCACTTAATATAATGTCCTCCAGTTCCTTACATTTTGCTGCAAATGAGAGGCTATCATTCTTTATAAGGCTGAATAATGTTCACTATGTATATACAGCACATTTTCTTTCCCCATTCACCTGCTATTGGATATACCTAGGCTGGTTCTTGAAGTGTTTTTGTGTGTTTTCTTCTCGTACTTTTATGGTGCTAGGTCTTACAGGTTAGGTCTTTGATCCACTTTGAGTTTCATTTTCAAAGGGCAAGAGGGGTCAAGTTTCAAGATTATGCATGTGAATACCAGTTTGCAAAACACCTTTTACTAAAGAAGCTGTCCCTTTTCCAACCAATAACGAGGTTGCTGAGAAAGAAATCATGAGAGGAGTCTCATTTACAACAACAACAACAACAACAACAACCTATGTATAAATTTTTTAAAACTTTTTTTTTTAGTTGTAGATGAACACAATATCTTTGTTTTATTTTTTTATTTTTTTATGTGGTGCTGAGGATCAAACTCAGTGCCTCATACATGCAAGGCAAGCGCTCAACCACTGAGCTACAACCCCAAGACCTCTTCAATCAAAATGGCACACAGTCTCATGAAAGAAATTAAACAGGAATTCTCAAAAATAGACCTCCCATGTTCGTGGATGGGAAGAATTAAATGTTAAAATGTCCATACTACCCAAAGCAATTTACAAATTCAGTGAAATCCACATCAAAATACCAATGTCATCCCTCACAGAACTAGAGACAATAATCTAAAATCCACATGGAAGTGCAAAAGACCTTGAGTAGCCACACCCTGATCCTGAGCAAAAAGAACAAAACTGGAAGGGTCTGGTCACCAACTTCAAAGTACACTACAAAGCTGCAGCGTCACCGAGACCATGGCATTGGCATGACTACAGACTCAACCAAGGGAACAGGACAGAGCGCCCAGAAATGACCCCAGCTCCACAGCCAAACAATTCTCGGCAGAGGTGACCACCCAAGAGCAAAGGCCCCCGAAACTTTAAAGTCTGTGGACAGAATCACTAGGAGGACCTTTGGTAGCCTCGGGTTTTCTAAATGAGTGAAATAATTATATGCGTGTATAATATAAACCTAACTAATATTTGACCCTGGATTTTATATCCAAATGGCGGTTATTAATGATTTGCCCAGAGGTGAGTTCTGGCACACAAGGCCAACTTCCAAAGGTAGCCTGTTGCCTAGGTGACCTCTAACTTGAGAGGAGTTTGCTTCCCAGCCTGACGTAGTTTGTGGATCCCAGTAGGGATTTTAACTACCAGGCGGCCAGTTAGGAAGCTGTGTTCCACAGTGTGCTGCTTACCTCCCCTCTGCTCGCCCTGCCTCCTGCACCCTCGCCCACTCACCGAGAACTTCCACAGGCCACCCACGTCATCGCTCCTCTCGAAGCAGATGGGCTCCAGCCCCTCCTCCAGACAGCTCCTGATGGCAGCCAAGCCACTGACACCGGCTCCCACGATGGCCACTCTCCGCCCCATGGCTGCCTGGGCAAAGGACATTGATTGCATCAGTATTCCTGAAAACGTATTTTTTTTGTGTTGTTTTTTGGCATAATAAAAATCTTTCCTTTTGCACCCAAGAAAACAGTATGAAAAAAAAAAGACTTCAGAACTCTGGTTAGTAATCAAACTATATTCTGTATGTCTCTAATTTCCAAAGAAAATGTTTTCTTCCAAGACATGAAACACTTTTAGTCTAATCTCCAAAACTGAGAGACTGATGATCCATCATATATATATAATTTATATACAGATAATTTATCTTTTTTTGTGTTTGGCCTTTTGTTATTCACTCTTACCAAAGACAATGAGCAGAAGAAAGGAAAGGAGAGTCACAACTAAGCCACACACCCAGCACCCAGCCACCTCCTGTGCATGAAGGCCTGAGTGAAGAAACCAGTATTCATGTGTGTGTGTGTGTGTGTGCGTGGCCACCCTCAGTACCATGGAGAGTTGTTTCCAGGCCTCCACCCCACCCTGGACACCCAAATCTGCAGATTCTCAAGTCCCTTATATGAAATGGCCTAGTATTGTATCTAATCCATGCACCTCCTCCTTGATACTTTAAATCATTGATGTTACTTTTAATATCTGATATTATGCAAGTGCTATGTGTATAACTGTGCCCTGTATTGTTTAAGGAAGAATGACAAGAAAAAAGCCTTGTGTGTGTTGGGACCAGATCCAGCCATCAGAGGACCACCCATCCATGGTTGGATGAATCCTCAGGTGTGGATCCTGCAGACGCAGGGGCCAGCTACACACACACACACACACACACACACACACACACACACTCTCACACCTGCCTTCTCATTCTACTTGACGTAGACTGGGGGGTCTACATCTCCACATGCCATGGAGCCAGCCCCTTCCTTCTTGATGACATTCTTCCTATTCTTCCTTTTCTCTGAAAAGAGAAAGGTTGTTCCTGACCACAACTTCTTCCCACTGGCTGCTCCCTGCCTCCATTCTCTTCTAAAACTAGCCTTCCCTGTTCCTGAGCCTATCGTTAGACCCCACTACTACTTCTCTCTCTATTTCTTACTTTCTAGACAAAGTCACCAAAGTGTATAAAAACAAAACCCAGAATCTGCCTGGACCGGATGTCATTCTCCTCCCAGCCACACATCGGCCAGACCCACAGCTGTGCCCCTTCACGTACCAAGCTGCCGTTCAGCCCTTCACAACACCAGTCCTTTCCTCCTCTCGCCTTTTCTCTGTCTTCTTCTGTATGTCCAAGTCCTGTCTGTCCTGGGTGATTTTTAAGAGCAAATGCTCCACTGGACTCAGATTCTGGAGGGGTTATTGGAAAGGGAGGAGCTGTTCTTAAAGAGGTAGGGATTTCCTTGATCCTCTAAAAACAAGCACACCCCATCCTGTGACATGTGGGGCGTAGGGCCTGTCTCTGGTCTCCCGGCCCCACATTCCTGTCAGTCCTGGTGAACATAAGCTAGGGGAGTGCCCCAGGCTCCTGGCTCCAGGAGTCAGCCTGTTCCTCCCTCCCAGGTGGTTTGTCATTGTCCCCTCAAATCCCATAATGTGGGGTTTCAAAGCTCACATTTTTTTTTTTTTGGGAGGAGAGGGGAGGGGATTTTTTTATATTTATTTTTTATTTTTAGGTTGCGGTGGACACAACATCTTTATTTTATTTTATTTTTTTAATGTGGTGCTGAGGATCGAACCCAACGCCCTGCGCATGCCAGGCGAGCGCGCTACCACTTGAGCCACATCCCCAGCCCTCAAAGCCCACTTTCTTTTCATTGTTCCTAGTTCCTTAGTGGGGCGCTCACAGTAGCCCATCAAAGGCTCTGGGAAGTTAGGCTCTGAGCTGAGAGAGCCAGCAGCAAAGGTGGCTTTTCTCTGCCACATAAACTACTCTTAGATTGGAAGTCACAAGGACAAGTGGGGCCAAACTTGGCCACCAGTTAACTAGGCTTCAGAAGAAGCACATGTTCAAGTGAACCATTGCTCAGGGGTTTTGAGGATCTTCTGAGGAGTGAGCAGACTTACAAGCTTCAAACTAAGAGCTTGCAACTGGGTCTTGAAAGAATTTCATGGGAATTTCCAAATGAAAATTGAGATGCCTCTTGCAATTCAATTTGCCCCTATAGTGCTCCCTCTAGTGGACAAAGGTATTCACTGCAATCCTGTTCCCCCCAGGTAGGAGGCCTGGTGGGGACTGCACCTTTCCAACTGTTGACTCACCTGCTTACTCAGAGGTGAACCTCAACCAGCTGCAATAGTGACCAAGAGAGATGTAAAATGAAGGTTTGAAGGTTAAACAAATAAATAAACCAAGGCCCAAAATTTGTAAATAACAATAGATGTGCGTTAGTCTGAATGTTGTGTACATTACCATCAAGATGAGTTTGCTCTAAGAAAGTCTCTTGAGTTCTGCTTTATGAGGTCATTGATTTCCCAAAATGGGTGTTCTTATTCAGACATATGTACATTAATAGAAGAACAAAGTAGAATTCATATTTCCAGGTGCATTTCACGCCTAAGGAGTGTTGTTGAAGGGTAAATATGGAAAGAATTTCTTTTTCTTAAAAAGAAAATGTTTGCCATTTTGCATACACAAAATTATCCTGAGAAGGAATTTAAAGTGACTTATGCTCAACCCTTGACTGCCATGGGTCTGGGATTTTATGGTTGAAACTGGGCGGTGTGTTCTTGAGGGGTCAGGAAGTCAAAGACATTGAACCAGACTCTTCAGAGAGCATAGAGAAGGAGCTAGAAAAGCTAATCTGGCCCTGTTGGAGAGGTAGGAGAGTCCCAAACAGGAGAAAACCCCGGGATTCAGAGGGAGAGGCAGACAGCACCAAACAGATTGTGAGTGAAGGGAGAAGGCCTGGGGACTAATGCTGTTGAGGAAAATATCACCAGCGTTTACTGGTTAATATTGATATAATTCTTGAATGTACCAGGAGTCAGCCTAGCCTTCTGAGGATTTGATGAAGATAATGGTCAGAAGCCTGTGTGCACTACACACAGCAGCTACCTTCACGGAATGGAAACCACTAGCAATCTGAAGAGAACTCCGTTAGAAGACTCATTCCAAGTTATAGTGGAAATTTTCAAAATGGCTTTCAGGGTTGTTCTGCTTGAGTGAACACACATACTGAACCTGAGTATCACACCATCAGTAGATGGGACTAAATACAATACATATTTTTTTAAATGATATGTATGTAAATGCCTTATATTCTTGAAATAGAGTACATGTGTTTAAAAGGTATTTGTCAAGCATTCACAAAGCTTGATTAGGTAATTAACCTGTCAAAGTGTTCTCTAGAGGAACAAAACCAACAGGAGTTACAGATCCGTGATTATCCAAAGGGGATTTATTTGATTGGCCTCCAGGATCAGAAGCTGGATAGACCCGGTGGCCATCTGCAGGGTGGAGAACTGGAGGAACTGGTCACTGCTCAGTCCAAGAAGTTGGAGGCTCAGACAAGAAGGACCATGATGTAGCCGCAGTCCAGGATGGACGGGAGCTCCCTGGAGAGACACTGGCCAGAGTCTGCTTTGGAGTAGTGAAGGAGCAGGACTCTCCTTGATCTTCACCTTCCATTCCCTCCAGGCCCCCAGCCCGTTGACTGTGCTGCCCACATTTAGGATGGGCCTCCCTCTCAGTGTGCTGTCCCACAGGCCCATAATTCCTGGGGACATCCTCACCAACACACCCAGCAGCCTCTTAATTCAGGCATCTCTTGATCTCATCACGTTGACAATTCAGATGAACCAGGACGGCCTCAAATGAAACCTTACCAAAATTTTTAAAGTAATTTTTACAGGATTTATCATCTGTTAGTAATCCAGTAAGTGCATCTTTAAGTTATTCAAAGAGTCATATTTATGAAAAGTTGCGACATAGGCTGTTTGCTCAGTGAGTGTACTTTCCACCTGAGCCACCTCCGTGTGAGTCCCTAGGAAGAGAATGCCTGGCACTCCAGAGTAATAGGAGGTGAACACGAACACCAGGTGTGCAGTAACCACCTCTGTGCTTTGAGCAAGAGGTGCTACTGAGCTCCTGCCACGATCACTGACCAGCGTGGAGAAATAGACAGGTGGACAGTGTTAGACTTTGAGGACAACACAGTTGGGTGTAAAATAAAGACCAGATCAAAACCTACCTACTTGACTTGCTAAGACATCAGTTTTGTCTCTAAAGGGAGATTGATTACATCAGCAAGTAGAAATATACACATTCCATTTTAGCTGGAATAATCAAGTTATCAAACTGTGTCCAAAATAATTTTGCTCTGATTGCACAATTTTTTGTACCCACGACCACGACGTAGGCATGTCAGGCGGTTGTAAATTATTCTGCATATTTTTTTCCTACCAATGATGATAACAGCTTTGGGGTGTCCTGCTCTAGGACAGACTGGCTTATGTATCCTTGCAGTAGTAAAGTCTGGAGCAAGTGCTAGGGAGAGAATGTGGAGTGGCTGGCTGCTTTTCCTGTGGTGTCTTCCTCTGATTGGCTGTGGTACCGAGACCAGTGTCTACACCACTGGACTAGGATCCACTGTTAAATCTGCAGCTGTTCCTTGATGAAAACTGATATGAATCCTGTCAAACTTTCTCGTACCTCCTCGTAGAGCAGCATAGATTTCCTTAATTTTTTTTTCAAGCTTTATTGAAGGATAGCCAACAAATAAGTGTATATATTGAAGATGCACAATACTTCTTATTTTCTCCAAACATTTTAAGGTGTACAGCGTCTCTTGTTTCTCTGTGGCTGAGAATTAAATAGCATGAGTTTGTGGAAATGCACATACCGTGTAAAATGGTCAACACAATCGGAGTGATTAACCTCACCTATTGTTACTTGTGTGTGTGTGTGTGGGGGGGGTGAGGACACTTAAGACCGCCTCCTTTAGCAGATGTCAAGTATATAATACGGCATTATTCACTACAGTCGTTGTGCTGCCATAGCAAACTGACAATGAGTGATTTTTAAATAAATT